GGGACCCCGCTAGAAGCCACAGGTGAGTCAATCGGGCCAGTTGCACCACTTGCGCTCTTACTGGCTGCCGTTCATCATAGGTCCATTGATGGAACTGTTGCGCCGCCCCCATGGGCGATAGGCCCACCCGGGCTAGGATTTCGGCCTTGAGCTCGTCATACTGTTCATTCCGGGGTGCCCTCAGGGCATAATAGGCCCGCTGCGCTTCTCCGGTGAAGGCGACGCTAATCTGGACTCGGGATACTCGCCACAATATGAAACTGTATTTAGTTGGTTTCCATGATGTCCCTCCCCACCTTTTTTTGTAACATGGTTTAGTCCAAACATGCACTTCAACTGGTTGGATTAAACCATAAGTACACAACAGGTGAGTTTTGAATACTTGGCACAATATCATATTGAGTTATCAGAAGTCATGCCAACATTTAAACCCAACTAAAAAAAGATGTACATCTCTCATATTTAAATTTTTTCCTTTGTAGTTTTATTTAATACATTTACAGTTTATACTTTATATACTATATGCTTTTAATACTTTTTTTTTTTGATCTTTGGGTCACTAATATTCCAGAATTTTCTTTCATACACTGAAGACACTGGCAGCATCTCTCTGTATCTATTTTCGCACAGTGATGTATTTGAGTGATTCTGTTCGTATGTCAGTGGCTCCGATGTTTGCGTGTATATTTAGCTCTGTGTAATGCTATCTGTTGTGTGTTTTGGTGTGTGTGTATGAGGGCTCTCCCTTGGATAATGTCCCAGGAGAAGCTCAGATGTATTTTGTGTGTGCGTGAACCTCCCTTTCTGGGTTTCATATTTTAATGATGCTTTTAAAGTGCTGATTGACATTATTATACAGAAGAACTACGTGTCTAATTACCCGTGCTGATGCACATGCACATTCTGCGACTCACACACACACATCTCATCAGATCAGTGTGTTTGTTGTGATGCATTTTGTTTGTTTCTGTGTGCTTAATAACGTTAATAGTATAATATCAGCCTAATACCAGCGCAGATTAGAGTTTAATCACCCAATAAACCCATTCTGCTTCTTGTTAAGTGTTTGGAATAGCACTATACTAGTCATACTGCTATTTTTGTAGTATGTGCACATAGTGTGCATGGATGACCTGCTACCAGTGCCAAAAAAATGCAGTATGTACTGCACAGTATGCTAGAATTTCATTCTGAACATAATATCTGTTAGATGCCTGAACGCTGTGTCTGAAAAAAGGAGGAAAATATTAGAGATGTGGGAGAGAAAACTGATGAAAACCAAATGCTTCTCGTCATACTACACACTCATCTAATGGTTTTTATCCTCCCTCTCCCATAAACTCTGATAAATCCTCCTCATTATCCTCATACAGCTGTACATTATAGAGTCAAATCAGTGCCAGCCCTGTTTCTATGATTTTTATAGGCAATTGTTGAGAAAACATATTCTTCCTTAATGCAGCCCTGTGTGTGCCTGGTTCTGGATAATGTATTTTGTTTGAATGGAAATAATTCTTCTGGATTAAGTTTGTTTTTCTCTTTGTCGACTGATATGGTATTTTTAAAGGAATAGTTCACCCTTGTTTCTTCATTGGAACAGATTTGGAGAAATGTAGCATTCCATCACTTGCTCACCAGTGGATCCTCTGCAGTGAATGGGTGCCGTCAGAATGAGAGTTCAAACAGCTGATAAAAACATCACAATAATCCACACCACTCCAGTCCATCAGTTAATGTCTTTGTAAGAAACAAATCCAACTTTAAATTGGTCAAAATACGAGTCCATAATAACACTTCCTCCAGTGAAAAAAGTCCATTCCCTTTCATCCTCTCACATCAATATACACTCACAAATTTGTTTAAAAGTGTTTTGGGCTGTGTTGGCTTGTAAATGGTGTTTGATCCGTTAATTAATTGACATTAACTGATGGACTGGAGTGGTGTGGATTACTTGTGGATTATTGTGATATTTTTATCAGCTGTTTGGACTCTCATTCTGACGGCACCCATTCACTGCAGAGGATCCATTGGTGAGCAAGTGACATAATGGTAAATTTCTCCAAATCTGAGTGTGAGTAAATTTTAGTTTTTGGGTGAACTGTTCTTTTAATGGCTGATGCTGATGCCGATATCAATATCTTAAAGGGATAGTTCACCCAAAAATGAAAATTTGATGTTTATCTGCTTACCCCCAGGGCATCCAAGATGTAGGTGACTTTGTTTCTTCAGTAGAACACATATGATGATTTTTAAGTACAACCGTTGCAGTCTATCAGTCGTATAATGCATGGCAATGGTAACAAAATCTATCAGAGTTACAAATTTTCATTTTTGGGTGAACTATCCCTTTAAGAGCAGGACATCATATATTAAGGATATATAGGTAATGCAATTTAGTGATAGCAAATAACTATGTAATGTGCACAATTGCTTTGTTTTACACAATATTTAATAAAAACTCAAAGAATACATTTGAAAACAGAAAATAGCCATAGACAGAGCTGTAGATGTTTGGGACTGGTGGAACTAAATATTAATATTTTATATTTAAATATAATATTAATATTTACCTAAATATTATATATTGTACTGAAAATGGTTCTGGTCACTGTATAATTACTAGATGTAGATGCACAGTTAAATGAGCTGTTGTTTAATAATTCCTCACTTTCTGAGGTAAGAAGTTGTAGGAAAGCTTGACAGCATTAGCAAGTAACTAAGGGATGGTGCTATGTTTAACATAAAGTGATTGAAATAGCCATTCTTTATTTTGTGTGTTTGTTTTCAGCTGTTGGTCTGTCTCAGAGGGCTTCAGGAATCAGTGTTGTTTGAATTCAGCCAGTGCTGAGATGATTATGTGTGTTTAATGGTTGTTTTTCCTCCTCTATGTGCTTTTCAGCAGCTGACTCCAGCCACAAAGTCAGTACCATATTGATGCTCCTTTCATTCTCTCTCTGTGTGTGTGTGTGTGCTGTAATTATCACCGTGATTTGTAGTGAAAGCATTGTTTTCCAGAATTCCCTCATCTAACCTCATCTTTGAGAGTGCTTTGCTTTTATTTATGAATAAAACACTGCGAAGAAGCACTAAGTATTAAACTTTAATGTAATGTAATTTACATTGTACTCGAGATACTTTCAAGAATACCACTCAAAACCCATGGTACTTGTAATTTTCCCCCTTCAAAAGGACTTTGATTGGTATCATAGTACAGTTATGGTATCAGATGGTGATATCATGGTGTTTTAATATGAATAATGTACTGAAGGATCCATGTTCACGGAGCCTGCTAGGATTTACATGCTTTTCAAAACATGCTTTTCTACTATGGTGCATGTAAAAATAAAAAAAATAAAATAGAAATATGTTATTAGTGTAGTACCGCTGTTTATGTAACAGTAATGACTTTTAAAGTAGAGCCCACTCAAGTAAAGCAAAGCAAAGCTGGGTTTGTGGTTCATTGTTTATTCTGTTGGTATTGCATGAGTGTGTTGACGTGAGTTTGATGATATGCATGTTATGTTCTATCTGTGAGGTGTTGTGTCGCAGTGGTCAGTTAGTCAGCGGATTTTAACTGCAGTTTGTCAAACACACCGAGTGAGCAAACAAGCCCTGCCAACACTCTTTCGTCACACGGTTCGTCCGCGCTCAGCCAGACAGTGTTGATTTATTACAGATTATGAATGTTGTACGTGTCAGTACAGACAGGCTTCGGTACGATCAGTATGTTCCAGACGTGAAAAAGTTTTTTGAGAGATTGGATTGATGATTTCAGACGTCCAGATGAGTTTCTTCTCAAGCCGTGTGTGGCTTGTGTTTTATTCCATGTGCGGCAGCGCCATCTTCTGTGGCCTTTTGCATAAACTGCTTAGACTAGTCTTAAAAGTTAGAAATCTATTATTTTTTTTCATAACTTTTTAAAGTCAATTACATAACTTAGATTGGTCTAATTTGAATCTGAAAAGTAAGACTGATACCCACTTGGTTAACTGCTAGTTAGTCAAACTAGTTCTTAAGACACTTAAGGCGGGCGTACACGGTGCGATTCTGAAGGTTCTGAAGGTCGTGAGCTCTGGCACATGTCACGATTGAGTTTATCTGAAAATCGTACGGAGGCAGTCACACACGACACGAATTTACTACAATTTGACAAACTCTGACTTTACGTTACGTTTCGCACCATTCATAAAAATATAGATTCTGAGGACGAAATAGTTTTCTTTGTGGCAGGCGGCTTGTGACGTCCAAAAAAAAAAAAA